AGGGAGGGTGGCGGGAAGGTGGGTAGAGGGTGGCGGGAGGCCCCCGGGCAGGGGCCGGCAGTTCGTTTCAGTCTATTTCGTCTGTGTTATTGATTGTCATTTGCTGTTGACTTGTGAGTGGACCTCGCTTTCCTTCCGTTTCAGACCTTGATCTGGCCGACGCCCTGAGTGGTGAGTATGACGGTTTTGTCCGAGCGCTCTCACGCACGTTCGCGAGCTCTGGGGGCGCGGCACAGACACGTCCGTGTGTCCGGGCTCCGTGAGCCGCTCCCTGCACCAGTCTATTTCGTCTGTGTTATTGATTGTCATTTGCTGTTGACTTGTGAGTGGACCTCGCTTTCCTTCCGTTTCAGACCTTGATCTGGCCGACGCCCTGAGTGGTGAGTATGACGGTTTTGTCCGAGCGCTCTCACGCACGTTCGCGAGCTCTGGGGGCGCGGCACAGACACGTCCGTGTGTCCGGGCTCCGTGAGCCGCTCCCTGCACAGGCCACCGACGTACACTTCCCGTCCCTGTCCTTCCGCCTCCTCGGTGGAATATTAGACAACCGGGAACAAGGCTCTCCATTCCCTCTTTCAAATAAACTCCCTGCCCTCCCTCCTGACCCCACAGAGGAATATTATACAACCAGGAAGAAAGCACCTAGTTCTCTCCACTAAAGTGTCCTGTGCCCCGGCTCCTGGGAGGAATATTACACGACCAGGGAAAAGGCTCTTAACCCAGTCCTTCAGCTACTTCCTTTCCCTCCGCCTAGTCGGTGGAATATGACACAACCAGGAAAAAGATGCTTAATCCCGTCCCTCAGCTAAAGGCCCCATCCTGCCTCCTTCCTCAATTGGAATATTAGACAGCAAGGAAAAAGGTGCTTCATTCACTGTTCCAGCTGAGCTTCCTGCCCTCTGCCTCCCCAGTGGAATATTACATAACAACGAAGAAGGCTGTTGGGGAGACCCCCCCCCCGTGCTTTCTGAACCCCTTTTGCTCACTCTTTCTCGTTCTCCTTTTCAGACAATCAACCCAAGAAGCCGGTTCCGACCCCAAAGAAGTCAGCGGGTAAGAGCTGCGGACGCGGGTGGAGACTGTGGCCTTGGTTCCCCCAAAGCGGGAATGACATCATAGATAGCGAGGGTGGTGACGTCACGGGTAGCCACGGCAGCGGCGTCACAGGCAGCGTCACAGATAGCGCCGGGCAGCCGTTTCCAGCACAGCTGTGTGCAGTGACGTCACAGACGGGCCGTGATGTCACAGGAGGCGTGGGTGGTTTTAAGTACCGCAGTGCTAGGTGATCGCAGACGTGACGTACACTAGTCCAACCGTCTGCGTGCAGTGGCGGCGACCCCATTCGTTTAAAGGCAGCTGCGGTTTAAGGCGGTGGGTGCTGGGAACTAAGTCGTCTGGCTCGGTGCTCAGGGCTCAGTGCTCACCCGCGCTCTCTCTGCTCCTAGGGGGCGACGACTTCGACCTGGGAGACGCTTTAGGTGAAGGAGGCGGCGGCGGGAGCGGCTTCCGGGACCCGGGCTATGCGTCACCCGAGTGCTGATGACTCAGTTATCCAGAGCCAGATTATCGGCACTCAGCCTGGAGCTGGTTCTTGGCGGAAATCCGGGAAAATCCGCCTCGCGCTCTGTGGGGTTTTTTATCCAACATCTGGGTTTTCCCTCAATTTAATTTAATTTAACTAATTTTAATTTAATTTATTTTTA